AACAAACAAACATATATACATAGATTCTTCTTTATTTTATTTCATTTGTGTTTTTTAATTTTATATCTTTATGATATGACCAAGTTCTTTGTACCGCAACTCCTCCCAAATAAGAAAATTCAGAAATTTCCTGGCCTAGTTACCCCAGTGTAGGAGATTCCTGGCCACCATTTCTTTTTTTTTGTATTTATATTTGTTCATTTTTTATTTATTTTTGTTTATTATTTAGCTAAGCCACAATCTTTACAACCTGTAGCTTTGTTAAAATGCTACACTATACACAGTTCAGCAGTCTGAGTTTCAAATTGTCTTTGCCGTGCAACCCTTCCCACATAATCTAATAAAAATATCCTAGTCTAGGTGACCCCTAAATTAGCAGATTTCCAGACCAGATTGTTTTTAATTTTTTTCTGTTTCTACTTGTTAGTTTTTAATTTTATTTTCAGATTTATTTAGAATGGTTTATTTGTATTTTTCCCTTATTCTTCAGTATTAATTTGGTATTAGACAGCACACATTTTAGCAGTGTAATCTTCCTTGGCCCATATAGTCAGCATCCATTTTTTTTAAATTTAATTATATAATGGCACTTGTGGAATAGCAGCAAATGGAAATCCTACAGAGCAAGACAGCCTGCCCTTCCACAAGACGGGGAAAGGCAGGTAAAAGCAAATAGAGGCAGAATACTATGAACAGGAGGAAATGCAGAAAGTAATAAGAATTAAGTGTAGTATGCTACAGCCGTAGGTAGAAACAGAGAAAAGGTTTGTGCGTGTGGGGGTTGTTTTTTTTTTTTTGAGGGGGGGGGTGTTTTTTTGTTAACTTTTTTGTCTGAGGTTGCCCACCCTACCCCAAGTCAAGCAAAAAATCCTAAAAAGAGAGGTGAAGATTCTGCCATAGTAGTGGGTAAGCCATGCTAGTATGACCTCCTCCTATTCCTCCTCCCCTTCCTCATCCTTCTCCTCTGTCTATTCCTGCTCCCTCCACCTTCACCTCTTCCTCTTCTTCCTCCACCTCCCTTGCCTTCCTTAACCTTCTACTTTGTCTACACCTTCTCCCCTCCCCACCTTCACCTCTTCTTTCTCCAACTCCTTAAGGCATGAGGACAGGCTCTGGGGAGATGGGGTTATATGAGAATAATTGCCTACTGAATCATATATGATGAAACACTGTTGAAAACAGCCTCTCTTCCTCCAGTTCATGGCCCCACATTACATTTTTTTCCCACAATCACAATTTTATTTATTTATTGAGGGTAAAAACATTAACAAATTTAATTTTTATATATATTTTTTGTAAGACCATCTCTGTCTAGGTCAAGCATACATAACAAGGATGGCAGTGTAAACTGTAAAAAATCATGACAGCTGGGAAGAGGGAACCTAAATGTAGTTTTTGGGGCTTCCACATTTGGTTGCAGACTCATTTCCATTCCCCTTAGTCCTCATTGGCCTTTTCCTGTAAATCAGTATTTACGGACCGGAGAGGAAAACCATCAAAGTAATAGTACAATCCTAAAGCCATAGGTTGCCTGCCCTTCTCCACAGTGAAGACTTAAAACAAAAAGCAGGTCCCAATATTCACCTCACCATTTCCACTAACAAACTTCCCATGCCAGGTTTTTTGCTGAAGTTGAGAAAAAAATGATCTCCTCATGCCCAGCACCTGTATGTTAAACATTACTTACAGATTCATTATTTTTTATCCTTTTCTCTTTAAACATTTTAATTTTTTTATTTTTTGTAAAAACATCCCTGCTCCAGATGTAAAATGTGTACAAGCATTCATTGCATTGGAATGCTCTATGTCAAGAATGTACCATTGACTGGAGGTGGACACTGACTACTCTTTGGACGCTGCCTGCCCTGAACCAGGACTGTCACTGGACCAGTCTTCTTGTCTGCCAACTACAAGTACCTGTTTTTCTGTGTTCAGTTTTCGCCTGCCCCAGAGTGGTGGAGAGGCACTATAGCATTATGTATAAGACCTGGGTGCAACCGAGTACCAGTATATACTTGCTTGCCTTATGGGAAAATGACTCTTTCATGGACCCTATAGATGTTCCACAAAGCATTAAAGAACTGCCAAATGTCAGCAATCATCTGCTTTACTTGGAGCCACAGCACTCCTTCATCCTAACTCTGGAGTGGTACATTAACAACAAGAAATGTTTTACTGAATTTGAGAAGGAGGGCTTGCCCTTGAAATGCGTAAGCCAATGCAGATTCCAGAATGGCGTTCATTTGGCATCCGGGTCTTACCCACCGTTGGGATTGTGGACAGCTATTTTTCACATCACTGTATTCAAACTTTGATTTGTGTGAGTATATATGTCTTTATACATTTGTAATAAAACTCTCTTGGGATAATACACTAGTCCAGTGCACCTTCTTTTTCTTCTTTTTTTTTCTTGTTTCTGTATTATTATTATTATTATTATTATAAAGTATTTATATAGTGCCAACAGTTTGCTCAGAGCTTTACAAAATGAAGGTAGAAATTACAGTTACAATGCAATTTGGTACAAGAGGAAACAGAGGGCTCTGCTCATTGGAGCTTACAATCTAGGAGGAAGGGTTGAGTGATACAAAAGGTAATAGCTGTGGGGTGATGAGCTGATGGAGGAAATAAATGGAAGTTTACTGGTTAGAAGCTGGATTGACTTCTTTAAAGAGAAAGGATTTCAGGGATCGTCTAAAGGTGGATAGATTAGGAGACAGCCGGACAGATTGGATTAGGGAGTTCCATAGGATTGGAGAAGCTCGAGAGAAGTCCTGGTGGTGAGCATGGGAGGAGGTGACAAGGGAACTAGAGACCAGAAGGTCTTTGGAGGATTGAAGAGAGCGGTTTGGTTGATATTTTAAGACCAGGTTAGTGATGTAGCTCAGGGCAGAGTTGTGGATGGCTTTGTAAGTTTTTAGTATTTTGAATTTTATTTGTTACAGTTGGTTTTTGGAATACCCCAGCTGAGGGCAGCAAGGCGGTCTAGATCCCTCAGTGGTCTTACTGAGAATGTACACCCAAGGACCAACAGAAGTCCTCCACACTTATGCACAGGAGATTTTGGAAATGTTTTACTAAAAATGGACTGTAGTTTCTCTTTATGTTGAAATGATGTTCACAAAGCATTTCAATACAATTCATTTTAATGTAGACTTAAGCCACATACTGCCCAACCAAATAATGCAACCAGTTCATTTTAAAAGGGCTCCCAGCATACCTTAGAACACAACAAACCATGGCTTTTTTTTGGCATTGTGATGCACTGCAGTGTGGGCACATTACTGGCTACTGTAATAATGTGTTGTGGTACTATTCAAAGTGACACAGCAGGTAGACAGCTTTGGTCTATGCTGAAGATGTCCAAATCTCTTTCAGATCAAAAATAAGTATCAAAAGAGTTAAACTCCCTCAATATGGGCCTCTGTAGCACCAAATGATGAAAAATGTAGATTATTAAAGTCTAGGGTGGAGTGATTTGTCCCTGATCCTGCAGCCTCATGGTTCATCTCCAAAGAGGCTGCAGGACCAGGAACATAGCGTGGCTGCAGGGCAAGCCAGAGGGTGGACTTGGTGCATCATCAGGAGGTAGCTGCCTGAAATGGGAATAGACAACCAGCTGAAGAGGATCAAGATGGCAGTGCAGGACCTGGACTATTCCCCCCGAACAGTAAATCACAACAGGAAAATGCTGGATTTGTTGCCCAGGTGATTATGTATTTCAAAGATTACCTGGCAATTCAGGTAAGTGGGGAAAAAAAACATGGGCAGGCTAAGTTCTGCTTTTACAGCCTCCTGCCCACAATATAAGTAAAAGGCAGACGGGCGGTGCTTTTCTCATTTTGGGAGGATGTCATATGACATCCACCCACTCTATCTGCTCCTGTTTTACCCCGGGGGGGCATTCAGCATGGCAATCAGTGGTGCACTGTGTTCCTGGGACAAAGCAGATCACCAATCAGAGTAAAGAACTGATGACATCGGCTCTATCATATGATCAGCTGTGTCCACCTATCAGTGGCAGTCAGTACCGCCTATCAGTACCAGTATGTGCCATCTATCAGTGCCCATCAGTGCTGCCTATCAGTGCCCATCAGTGTCGCCTAATAGTTTCAATCAGTGCCACCTAACAGTTCTAATCAGTGCCAGTCAGTGCCCCCTATCATTGCCCATCAGTGCCATATATGCGTGCCCATCAGTAATGCCTGTCAATGCCCATTAGTGCCACCTACCAGTGCCTCCTCATCAGTGCTGCCTATCAGTGCCCATCACTTCAGCCTCATTAGCGCACATCAGTGAAGGAGAAAAATTACTTACTTACAAAATTGTATAACAGAAACTAAGAAAAAACATTTTTTTTCAAAAGTTTCAGTCTTTTTTTTTCGTTTGTTTAGCAAAAAATAGAAAAACCCCACTGCTGATTAAAAACCACCAAAAGAAAACTCTATCTGTCTCAAAAAAAAGATATAACATTTTGTTTGGTACAGTGTTGCATGACTGTGCAATTGTCATTCAAAGTGCCACAGCGCTGAAAACTGAAAATTGGCCTGGATTGGAAGGGGGTAAGTGCCCGGTAGGCAAGGGGTTAAATATACTAATACTTACAGCAGTGTCTATGCATAAAATTCACAATTGCTTTAATTCCATGACCTTAAACTCAGCCAGCACTTTCTGCAGAGCTCTCTTGATTTCATGGTTTCTCAGGCTATATATAATCGGATTCATCAATGGAGACACCACCGTGTACAAGAGGGATCTATATTTATTTGTGCTTGTTGACCCATCATGGGCCACATAGACGATGATTATTGTTCCGTAATACGCGCACAAACCATGGACAAATGGGTACCACAAGTGGAGAAGGCTTTTCTTCGCCCATAGGTGGAAGATATCTTCAGAACAGTGACTACGATGAAGATGTATGTAACAATAACAACAGCAAATGGAATAATAAATGTGAAGATCGAAACAACGAAGTCATGCATGCAGCATGAACGTAGAAGTGTCTGAGGTGGACAATTCAACTACGGGGCTGAAATCGCAGAAAAAGTGGTCTATAGAATTCGGCCCACAGTATTTAAATTGAAATAACTCAATCACTTCACTTGATAATAAAATAATAACCAAGACCCACAACCCAATGATCAGCTGGGAAATAACATGGGGGTTCATAAGGGACGAATACCGGAGTGGGTTGCAGATGGCCAAATACCGATCGAAGGACATGACAGCAATCAGAAAACTTTGCAAAGAACCGGAAATAGCAAAACAGTAAAGCTGAATAATGCAGCCAACCAGCGATACGTCTCCTTCGTCTTTGACAATAATGTCCAGTGTCATCGGCACCACACTGGTGGTCATTAGGACGTCAGATGTAGCCAAGTGCTTGAGAAAAAGGTACATTGGAATTTTAAGCTGATCAACAATTGACACTAAAATAATTATTAAAGCATTTCCAGTTAGTATCAGTATGTAAGTTAGCAGAAACAAGATGAACAAAACAATTTTAAATTTATAAAGACCTCGAAATCCAAGTAGTTTTACGTATGTGATCTGAGTCTGGTTCATTTCACACATTTTATTTCTTGTAAAAATATTGAAATACCCGTGTAATGAGTTTATTTCCTGAAAACATTGCATGTAGAACAAAAATAAAAAATTAAAATTTCAAAAAAATTTTAATGTCCAAACTAAGCTAAGCAGCATCAGTACGCACAGTTTATATATATAACTTAAAGTGATATTCTCTCTCTCTCTCTCTCTCTCTCTCCAGTCAGGTCCATAAATATTGGGACATTGACACAATTCTAACATTTTTGGCTCTATACACCACCACATACGTAAAACTACTTGGATTTCGAGGTCTTTATAAATTTAAATTGTTTTGTTCATCGGATTCAGGTCAGGTGATTGACTTGGCCATTGCATAACATTCCACTTCTTTCCCTTAAAAAAACTCTTTGGTTGCTTTTGCAGTCTGCTTTGGGTCATTGTCCATCTGCACTGTGAAGCGTCCAATGAGTTGTGAAGCATTTGGCTGAATATGAGCAGATAATATTGCCCGAAACACTTCAGAAACACATATGCAAACTGTTGTAATTCCTACACCGTTCACCTGATTTGGATGTAAATACCCTCAAATTAAAGCTGACAGTCTGCAGTTAAAGAACATCTTGGTCGTTTCATTTCAAATCCATTGTGGTGGTGTATAGAGCCAAAAATGTTAGAATTGTGTCCATGTCCCAATATTTATGGACCTGACTGTATCTATCTATCTAAGCAACTTCTTCCATGAATTCTCTTAGCAATTATTTTACAGGGTAGGTTGCCAGGTCTTTCCCCAACCCCTACCATGGAGGAGATCCCACATGGCCAGGGTTGAAACTAGGACAATTTAGACAGGAGCCAATTAACCTACCAGCATGTCTTTGGCGTGTAGGAGGAAACCGGAGCACCCAGAGAAATCTCATGTAAGCACAGGGAAAGCATACAAACTCCATGCAGGAGGCACCTTGGTAGGGAATTGAACCCATGACCCATTTATTGCAAGGCAGACGTGCTAACCACTAAGCCACTGTGCCGCCCATAAAGTAATATTAAAGGCTCAGATTTTATTTTAATACCAAACATGTTAGTGCCCCTGATGACGTTACCTGTGACGAAACACGTAGGGTGGAGCCACGCACACACGCTACTGCGCATGCGCGAATCGCCGGTGGCCATTTTGGAAACTGGCAAGTTTGGATTTTTTGCCAGTCAATGCCTAATGATGTTTGCTTACATGTGAGTGCAACCATACTTTAAATAAATGTTTTCAGTATGGTTTTATACTATGTGGAGAGTTCTTTCTTTGCATGTTCCCCACTACAAGTCCAAGCCGTATCCTGAATGGTTTAGTTACCCTAATTAAGGTCCACTGTTTGGAAGATCTTTATCTACCGTTTTGGTGATCTGGAGGAGGATTCGAGTGACTGGCTTTCTGGGTCGTTTAATAAAGCGCAATTGACCGCTCCTAACAGGGGGTCATGCCTTTCTGGTAAGCCTTCCGTATGAGTGGTTGGTGACACCACAACTGTCCTTGGAGTTCTTATGTTTCATCACAGCCTCTGGGACTTTTCTTTTATTTCTGGATGGACTTTTTGTTTTGACACATTTTTCACTGTTTTCTTATGATGATTTGTAACTTTTTAAGCGCTGCACTTTTATGTATTTAATGTTATACTTACTTGCTGTGTGCAGTGGTTTTCAACAGAGCAGCCCATATCCTCTTCTTCTCGGGTCCCTCGCCAGTGCTCCTTGGTCCTCCCCCTTGACCAGTGCTCCCAATAGCAAGCTGCTTGGTATGGGGCTACGAGCATGTGCTTGCTCTCTCCATCAGATTCATAGAGCCGTGCTCAGCCCCACCCACCGCTCTCTTCTTATTAGCTCACTGGCTATAATTAAAAAAAGTGGAAACCAATGGCTCAGCCAATCAGGAGAGAGAGACCTGGGACAGCCGAGGCTCCCATGCACATTACTGGTTTGAGAGGGGGGTCAGGTGAGCATTGGGGGTGGGAGGGCTGTGGGGGAGAGCAGTACACAGAAGGTTTTTTAAGTAATTCTAAAGGTTTACATTTTTTTTTACAAAAATAACAAAACGTTACACTCACCTGACCTGTGTAGTGGTTTTGCACAGAGCAGTCTGGATCCTGCTCTTCTCAGGTCCCCCGCTGGCACTCCTGGCTCCTCCCTCCTGTCAGGTGTCCCCACAGCAAGCAAAGGACACCCGAGCATGCGCACTCCCCAGCAGCTGCTCCATGTGTCCATTCACGGGTTCAGCTCCACCTCCTCTCTCTTCTCATTGGCCCACTGGCTGTGATTGATAGCAGTGGGAGCCAATAGCTCACCCAAAGAAGAGAGGGAGTTCTGGGATAAAGGAGACTCCAGTGCACATCGCTGAATCATGTGGGGGATTAGGTGAGGGTGCATGCGCGCCCCCTACCTGAATCTGCAATATCACACACACACATATATGTGTGTGTGTGTGATTTTGCACAGCTGTGTCGCCCTGTAGCAGTATTTCTTCTATATTGCGGTGCAGAACGGGTTAAAAATATTTAAAAAAAATATTCTTCCCAAATATATTGACATATATTTGAAAGACAACAATTTTGGCTGTGTTCAGGATATAAAAAAGAAATATATACAGTGGGGCAAAAAAGTATTTAGTCAGCCACCAATTGTGCAAGTTCTCCCACTTAAAAAGATGAGAGAGGCCTGTAATTGGCATCATAGGTAGACCTCAACTATGAGAGACAAAATGAGAAAACAAATCCAATCACATTGGCTGATTTGGAAAGAATTTATTTGCAAATTAAGGTGGAAAATAAGTATTTGGTGAATATGAAAAGTTCATGTCAATACTTTGTTTTATATCCTTTGTTGGCAATGACAGAGGTCAGACGTTTCCTGTAAGTCCTCACAAGGTTGGCACACACTGTTGCTGGTATGTTGGCCCATCCTCCATGCAGATCTCCTCTAGAGCAGTGATGTTTTGGGGCTGTCGCTGGGCAACACGGACTTTCAACTCCCTCCAAAGGTTTTCTATGGGGTTGAGATGTGGAGACTGGCTAGGCCACTCCAGGACCTTGAAATGCTTCTTATGAAGCCGGGCGGTATGTTTGGGTTCATTGTCATGTTGGAAGACCCAGCCACGTTTCATCTTCAATGCCCTTGCTGATGGAAGGAGGTTTGCACTCAAAATCTCACGTTACATGGCCCCATTCATTCTGTCCTGTACATGGATCAGTTGTCCTGGTCCCTTTGCGGAGAAATAGCCCCAAATCATGTTGTTGCCACCCCCATGCTTCACTGTAGGTATGGTGTTCTTTGGATGCAACTCAGCATTCTCTCTCCTCCAAAACACGACGAGTTGTGTTTCTACCAAACAGTTCTATTTTGGTTTCATCTGACCATATGACATTCTCCCAATCCTCTTCTGGATCATCCAAATGCTCTCTAACAAATTCAGACGGGCCCAGACATGTACTGGCTTAAGCAGGGGGACACGTCTGGCACTGCAGGATCTGAGTCCCTGGTGGCGTAGTGTGTTACTGATGGTAGCCTTTGTTACGTTGATCCCAGCTCTCTGCAGGTCATTCACTAGGTCCCACCGTGTGGTTCTGGGATTTTTGCTCACCGTTCTTGTGATCATTTTGACCCCACGGGGTGAGATCTTGCGTGGAGCCCCAGATCGAGGGAGATTATCAGTGGTCTTGTATGTCTTCCATTTTCTAATTATTCCTCCCACAGTTGATTTGTTCACACCAAGCTGCTTGCCTATTGCAGATTCAGTCTTCCCAGCCTGGTGCAGGTCTACAATTTTGTTTCTGGTGTCCTTCGACAGCTCTTTGGTCTTCACCATAGTGGAGTTTGGAGTGTGACTGTTTGAGGTTGTGGACAGGTGTCTTTTATACTGATAAGTTCAAACAGGTGCCATTGATACAGGTAATGAGTGCAGGACAGAGGAGCCTCTTAAAGAAGAAGGTACAGGTCTGTGAGAGCCAGAAATCTTGCTTGTTTGTAGGTGACCAAATACTTATTTTCCACCATAATTTGCAAATAAATTCTTTCCAGATCAGCCAATGTGATTGTCTGGATTTTGTTTTCTCATTTTGTCTCTCATAGTTGAGGTCTACCTATGATGCCAATTACAGGCCTCTCTCATCTTTGTAAGTGGGAGAACTTGCACAATTGGTGGCTGACTAAATACTTTTTTGCCCCACCGTATATGTGTGTGTGTGTGTATATATATATATATATATATATATATATATGTATATATATAGTATGTGTGAAGTGTGTTTTTTATATATATTAAAAAGTATATGAAAAATATTTTTAAAATACATTTTCAAATATATTTCTTTGCAAATAAATCTTATCTACTTTTTTGGAATGCATTTACAAATGTATGTAAAATTGTATGTTACAATTACATTTTTATGTGTTAAAAAAATCTGAAGAATATATTTAAAAAATATATATTTTTAAATATATGCCTTAGAAAATATATGTAAATTTAAATTTTTTACAATACATGTTAAAATATATTACTGTAGGCCAATATATTGTAACTACTGTATATGTCACATATATTATTATTATTATTATACAGGATTTATATATTATTATTATACAGGATTTATATATTATTATTATTATTATTATACAGGATTTACATATTATTATTATACAGGATTTATATATTATTATTATTATACAGGATTTATATATTATTATTATTATACAGGATTTATATGGTGCCAACAGTTTG